CAACTTCATACCTTACATAAGTGTCCAATCCCTTAACCTACGATAAAAAAAAGTGTGAGAAAAAAAAAATCCCGTTCATAATCATTAAATACTTTTTATGTTTTAACTTTCACTAGCAGAATGTTTACTGTTTTGCATTCAACGTTTTTCGTTTGTCTCCTTTTTTTATAGGAAAACGTTTTTATGGCCTCTGCATTATCATAACTTTCCGTCTTATATTATGTATATTATTTTTTGAAAAATAAAGAAATGAATTGAAAAAAATGAATGCGCAGTTTTATGACTTTTGAAGGAGATCTTTTGGAGCAAGAATGTGAGACAATTGAGGCTTGCTTTGTCCTGGTGCAATGGGTTGTCTTGGACTGGATGTATTTTAAGGGTTTATTCAGAGTTCATTTTTAATCTTTGGAATCATTAGTAAACATACATCACCGGGATTTGGTTTAATGTCGTCACATAATGCTTACAGCAAGCTTCCAGTTCCTATCGATCTTTTCAAAATATTTTGAGACACTCAAGTAAGCTTTAAGTAAACTGAGACAACACTTTGATCCAGTTCAAATTCAGAACAGATCTTAAATTGACACGATAATAAACCAATGAATTTATCAGATCCAATATCAGTAAATAAGATACAGCATTGCATAATAAAGTTCAGTGCCTCAAAGAAAATGAAAATATTGCATTACGAACAGTATTGAGTTGCTAACAAGCCTTGCAACTATTCATAATTCAAACTCTGTGAGCTTTATAATATCTGATAACATAGCAGAAGACAGATGTCTCTTTTTCTCTGAGTAGCTTGTCAACTCGTTCAATTTTTCAACCTGTTCATAAATTTTTAAAGTTCATCCGCGAATTCAACTTTATTTTTCATAACTTCATCCCTTTATCTGTCACATAAATTAGAAAAGGGTAAAGACTTTAAAAAATGTATGATTTGGATTCAATGCTGCTTTTTTCAGAGTGTAGGAGGTTATGGCTGAACTACCTTGGTAAAGAAATTGAGAAATATGAAACTTTATTCGTGGAAAAGGTCAAGGATTGATTGTTTTTTCAGTTCATCTGAGGCTATATCTGAAAAATAATTAAGTAGACCTTCGATAAATGAATTTGAGGATCAAAACAACGATTAGACCACAATTACTTCTAAATTCATGAGACTAACCTAATGTATATCAAAGGAACCGAGCATTCACTTAAACTAAGGTTTTGTATGAAGTCAAGTTGACTTTATTTGTGCCAAAAATTGACCCTGCGTTATATTCGAGAAACCAATTTCAAAGCTGATCCATGGTGGACATGATGAGCAGCTAAAGAAATTGATGCACCTTTTGGACACCTTAATAGAGGAACACTACTTACTTTACTTCTCGGGCCGTATCAAATGTGATCCATGACCTCCTGAAGCTGGCTCTATCGCACGCTACTGCTTGCCAATTCCCAATACCAATTGTAATAATGTCTCTGTCAACAGCTTCTCTCGAAGAGTTCTTGGGACGTCCACGAATAGAGTGACACGCTGCGCCACAATTTCAAATCCATCAACTTGCTCACAAACTCGCATTTTCTTTTGCCTTTGTTTTTTTTCTCCTTAATATATTTTAAATTTCTTGCTTCTCTTCTTCTTGTGCTTGCACACGACTTTCAGTTTATTAAAAATATATATTTCCTTTTTATTTCATCTCACGACCTCCATCCACCCCACTCCACAGCAGTCTTCACAGCGACTTCTTTGCTTGTATGAAAATTCTTCATTTTTAAGACATTGCCCTCTCGCTCGTTTATTCCTTCTTCGTCATTTCTTTTGGAATATTTATTTGGCAGCAGAAGCTTAAAGCATCAAAAAAAAAGGATTCAATGAGTCTATATACATTAAGATGTATACATATTTGTATATGCATATTTCAAATGCCTTTTGCTCTTTTTCCTCTTAATTTCACAGCAATTGTTTAATGTCTCGCGTACATTCAACCCCAAGTTCCATTTTTTTAATCCTTTTCCTTCTTCTTATTCATATTGCTCTCGTGTCAAAAAAAATATGAACCCTTGTTTAGCATTTAAATGATCAACATTGAAAATATCAATTTTTTTTCTGCTCATTCAATTTTCTTTTTGGCTTTTTCCATTAATAAAGAAAGTCATTCGTACCATTTTTGCGTATTTGATCCCAAATAAAACATCATGAAGAAGAGAGAAGGTGAAGCGAAGCGGTCTATTAAGGATTTTTTTTTTTTTTTGGAAGAAGAACAAGACTTAATATTTCATTTTACGCACCAATTTTCCATTGATTTGATTTTAATCTCGAAAGTAAGAAGAAATAAATGAAAAAAAATCTCTTTTTTGCCCTTTTCTCGCCCTAATCTCGTCCACAATATTCCAATTTCTGTTTTAGAACGGGTCAGAAAGATAAAGAAAAGGATAGATGTGATGCGACGATTCATCTACCCGCAATAATTGTGCGGAGAACCTAGAAATTTGTACTTTTCACTTCTTTGCGACATTCTTTACTTCTCTTGCGGGATTTCATTTATCTCGTCTATTTGTGTATATGTGTCGACATGGTGAACGTGTCTGGGTATCAATCAAGATTCAAACTTCAAAGATATGGAATTAAATTTTTTTTCCTTTTCTTATCGTCAAACATGAGCGACTGAACAGTAAGAAGATCAAGATTGAGAGAGAAAAACTTCAAGATGCTGGCAGAGTTGTTGACTCTTTGGATTTAGAGGTCGTTTGTAAATGACATTCATCAGAAACTGTGATTTTCAGACCTCCTGTCCCCTTCAGTTACAAAATATCAATTCAATTTTTTTAGAGTGTCCCATAGAAGTTAACCCACCTTTCCATTATAACCTAGACATCGTTTATAAACAACCCCTATTAGGGGTCATTCACTTATGACGTCCATCAAAAAAAATTTTAGATCCCCCTTTATTTAAATTTGTAAAGAAAAAATTCTTTTGTTTTAGCTGTCACAAAGTTCTAGGCCCCCTTAAATCTCGGACGTCATAAGTAAACGACCCCTAATCTGTTGCCTATAAATTGAAAATTCTTGATCAAATCTACAATAATGTCGCTCTCAATTTGATGAATTATTATTGCCATAGCAACTGATCTTCTTAAACATGTATTAAATGCACTTAGATTCAAGCACATTTTCATAAAAAAATTATGTTTTATACTGTAAATCTGTCAACAAATGTTTTTAATAATTCCTTCATAATAAGCCTTTACCTAGAATTTTTAATAGCTCTCAGCAACAACCCTGAATGTACTTTCAAAAGAAAGAATCCTTTTACATTTTTGGGGTAGTTTTCAAATGATGTAAATTAAAAAATTATTTTTTGGCACCTCCTCACCTGCATCATGTATCATATAGCTTCATATCTATTTCCTCTTCTATTTTGCTGGTAGTTTGACATCATTTATAGATGATCTTCTTGATATTTGATGTCTAAGTCCAGCATTTAAATTTCTTTAATTTTCTGGGGTTCTTATGAAAATATCTTTAAAATACCCACCTACCCCCCTCCCTTCAAGGATGCTGAACTGACGAAATGAAATGATCAAAATTGGTCAAAAATGATGAAAATTACGAAAAATTATTTGAAGACCCCCCATCGCTCATTATATCCCACTTCCTAATAGACGTCATTTATAAACGCTTCAAAAATTTCCAACGAATGAAAAGAAAAGAATTTTTCTTTCTCGCTCAAATTCATGAGAGAAAGAATAGCTGCTCTTCACGATGGAAACGACGTCGATGGCAAAGCTTATAATACAAATGAATTGATAATACATTTTACTTTGTGAAATGAAAATTACTCTCGTAAAATGAGAATGATGAAGAAAGAAATTTTAATTTAAATTATGATGAGCACTTGAGCTTTAAATTTAAAGAGCAATTTGCGAGCAATTTTTTTGCAATTAAGATTCATCGTCTTGATGGAGATATAAAAAAATTTAATACTTTTACAAGTGTTCCATGAATATTTAAAGGCTGAACGAGAGACGTAAAATGACATTTTTTGAATCTCAATTTCATATCTTTTTTTTGGTATTAATGAAAATGTCAAGAGTCTTTAGCTAGCTAGAAATTTTCCATTACATCCCAATAAAATCTTCTTAGAGAAATAAGTTTTATCGTTCGAATAGAGAAATGACTTTTGGGGTTGGTTATAAATGACGTTCATCAAAAAATAAAGCTGCTTATGCTCACAATCTTGGTTTCAGGGAGATAAAAGAATCCAAAACTTCCTATTGTGACATAACTTCCAAACTAACCCCATTTGAATTTTTGTATGATACTTTAAAGATTAGAGCGCATTTTTCACTCACTAAAGTATTTGTCTCGATTTTATATTGATGCAAGTGCTCTTCAAAATTGATTCAAATCGATAACTTCTCTCCTCAATAATGACAATCGTAAAATGTGATAACAATCAGCTCCTCCTTCATGTCATACGGTACATGAAATTTCTAGGAATTTTCTTCTCTCTTTGAGACTTTTGTTGATATACTGAGATCATAAAAGTTTTGTCATCCTTCTTCTTTTATGTTTATTTGACATTGTTATATTTGTTCAGCAGAAGCTGTAGAAGATGTCTGGGAAAATTATATTGTGCATGATATTGTATGAAAATTACTTTGTTAATCAATTTGAGTTTAGACGAGTAATGCAACTGCTAATATCAGCAGTATTAATTATTGCTCAATTACTTATCACGAGACCTTTTGATAATTTTCTATTTATACAGCCAAATTATCAAGGGGGATAACAACATGATGAGGAAATATAATTAATTTCTCTACACAAAAAAAACCAAAATTAGATGGAAATGGTGATATATTTTATTCAATAAATTTCCCAGCATGTTGTTTTCCCCTTGAAACTTATAATTATCAAATTTAATCTCAAACGGAAAAACCCCATAATACTGAAAACTCAAGATAAGATATTCTTCATCTTAAGAAATTTTAGAATAAAATTGTCAAGCGTCAAGCTGACTTTCGTCATTTGTTTGTGAATTTTTGAAGCTTGAAGTTCGGTCAAAATGAAATTCTGTGTTTTTGCGATTTTATTAGTCGCTGGATTCCATTATGGATCAGCAGCTTTGGAAAAAGTAGAGTGTAACTATGTTCAGGATGAATATGACTACATCTGTGAATTGCACATAACAAATCCAAATGGATTGGACAGTTTTACGTCAATTGATGGAACTCATCTCGCAGGATTTGGAAATGCTGATGTTGTTAGAGTTGTAAGGAACGTTGCCTCATATACAACAAGAATTCCATCAATTATCTGCAATACTTTCACAAATTTGGCAAGTTTTGACTTCCATAATGATTTCGTTGCCTCAGTTGATGACAATGCATTCAGAGGATGTACGAACCTTCACATGCTTTCACTCAGCACCAACAACATTGCATCACTTTCAACAAATGCATTCCGTTTCAACACTGGATTATGGATGTTGTACTTGGACAACAATAGACTCACCGAATTGCCAAGAACTTTATTGAGCTCTGAAGAATTCTTAATTTCCCTCAATTTGAATGGAAACTCAATTTCAACTATTCACTTCGATTCATTTGGTGACCATCCAAATTTGTCATATTTGTCACTTAGCAGAAATACAATTACAGCATTTGATGAAAGAGTTATCAACTACTCAAACATATACTCACTTGAATTCACTGGCAACTCATGTGCAAGCGGTGATTTTACTGACGAAAGTGAAAATCGTGACACAATTCGTGCTGCTTTATCAGTTTGTTTCCAAAATTATGTAAATCAATATGGAAGAAAATGAAAGAGGAATTGATGTAAATTGGCTTGTGTTGAATATTTCGCTTTGGCAATAAAAATTAGTTAAAAAGCATAAAAAATTTTTTTTGTACATAAATTAATGTTGTGCGATCAGAATTGCTCATTTGAATGTCTTTTCTTTGTCATAAAGAGTCAGGCATCAATATTATTGTCTTTTTTAATTAATAGGAAATAAATGGAATGATGATCACCCCTTCTAATATTTTTACTGCTTCACGAAAAGTGCAAAACCTGATATTTCTATCAAATATGCAATTACAAGAGATTAATTGCTTTTGATGCTACTTATATGGTCTCCTAATCTTAATTGCTGCACAACCATCAATAACTCATCATTATATGAATAAAATATTAGCATCATCTTATAGAATTATCCTATATCCAATGTGTTATGTCTGAACAGGTTAGAATCTATGCTTTTGAGCCATATGTATGTGAATCTGCAATTGCATGAGTAAAGCTACTATTGTCGCGTAACTAGAAAACAGCTGTAGCTCTCCAAGACGTGGGCTCGATTCCCACTAGTGACGATGATGATGATGTCCTTCTACTCCACTATGAAGTGTAGAGCGTTTACAAACTTTTGAATCTAACACGATTGCTAGCTAATGTCGCAAGCTCACTGAGTTGATAACCCTACTGAGCCGCTTCTTTACGAATAGACGATTGCCAAGTATCACTAGGTTTACCATGTTTTCACCTACCCAGCGGATTCCAGAATACAGCTTGTCGTGTTATATCTGCAGGGTCTTTCCTTAACGTGTGATCAATCCAGACCCATTTTCTTTTGCCTATAGATTCCCACTAGTGGCTTGTCTACAAATCATTTTCTGGTTTTGATATGACAAAGATTCACAAAATGCTTACGACACTATACAACGATAAGATTTAAAAGCTTTCTATTATCAATTAATATGCAACAAGGCTATCAGTTATTACCTCACAGTTTTATAAGCATGCAATTAGTTCAAGTGCTAATTCATAATCTGACAAAGCCATATCTTTAAGACTTATCACTAGCTTTCTATTTATATTGCAAAATTTAATTTTATTGCAAATGGAAAAACCCAATCAGAAATTATCAAACTTAAATGCAGACGATAAGATAAATAAACATCATCTCAAGAAGAATTTTTGAAACAAAATTGTCAGGAATCGGGGTTGATTTTGTCAGTCAATTGTGGATTTTTTAAGCTTACAGTTCAGTAATAATGAACATTTGTGTCTTTGCGATTTTATTTTTAACTGGATTCCAGTATGGATCAGCATCATTAGAAAAAGCTGAATGTCTCTTTTATGAAGATCCATATGAAGGATATGTCTGTGAATTACATCTTACAAATCCAAATGGATTAGATAATTTTGCTGCAATTACTGGAACTCATCTTGCCGGCTTCGGAAATGATGATGTTGTTAGAGTTGAAAGGAACGTGGCTTCATATACAACAAATATTCCAACAATCATTTGCGACACTTTTAGGAACTTGAAGAATTTTGATTTTAGTCACGATTTTATCGCAGAAATTAGTGCCACGTCGTTTAGAAGTTGCTCAGCTTTGGAAATAGTCGCACTAAGTGAAAATAATATTCAAAGACTGTCTGCTGATGCATTCCGCTTCAATCCTAATTTATGGATGGTGTACTTAACTTACAATTCCATCACAGATTTACCAGCCAATTTATTCACATCTCTACCAAGTCTCAGATACGTTATGCTTGATGGAAATGCTTTAACAGTCATCCATGCTGACACATTTGGAGTTAGGCCAAGCTTTACCAATTTTTATCTTAATAGAAATTCAATATCCGCTTTTGATGAACGACTTGTCGATAATACTGGCTTACGTTCGATTGAATTTACTGGAAACTCATGTGCGAGTGTTGATGTTATGGACGAAACACCAAATCGAGATGACATTAGGGCGGCATTGGCTGTTTGTTTTAATAATTATAGTGATAGAAGATATTGAGGATGATAATAAATTGGAATTTAATAAAATGTTGATTGAAGATTTGTGGGTTGTGGTTTGATTGTATTTTTTAGGGGTACAGCCAGGTCAACTCCAACATTGATTTCTTTTAAAATTTAAATTTGCATTTTTTTGAATGTCTGCAATCCTCCCTAATTTAATAAAGTATATAATTGCAATTTTCAAACAAATGAGGTCATGCTCAATCAATTTAAAGTCACAAAAATCTTTAAGAAACAGCCCAGACATCTATTAATGATAAATCTCATTTTTATCATTACAAACGTCAATCAATCGATCCACCAAATCAGGCATAATAATTTTACTTCCATTTTCCATTAAAAATTTTTTTGCAAAAAAAAACAAAGGGGATAACAACGTGATGGAAAAATGTTTGATGACAATTTTGATAAATTTTTCACAATTTTACATCAATTTTATCATCAAATTTATTTTTCGGTAAACATATTTTTCCATCATGTTGTATCCCCCTCGAACAAAAAGCATCACAATAATACCGATCAATTCCACTGCCAAAATACGATTGAGGATGAAAATTTCCGTACAATTGTGAAGTACTGTCTCCTTATTTTGATTGTGCCAGAAAGATAAAGACGAAAAGAATGGCAAAGAAAAGGAAATAAATTTATTTTATTATAAAAAATATTTTTCTTTTCCCGAAACTTTTAATGTTCAACTTTTATCGATTCACATTTAAAAAAAAGCATCCCATATATTCATCTTGTGCTCCTCATTCTTCTTCTTATTTTCAATTTTCAGCTAAAATAAAATGAAATGATGAGAAATGAGAGAGGAGGAAGAAGAATGTATAAAAAATTATTGTTGCTTCCTTCATGTTCGGTGAATAAAATAAATTTATTTTAATATAAATTGGAATAAATTGATTTCATTCGGAAGTCGAGAGTTGCTGAAGAATATATTTTATTTAGAAAGGAAGACGAGTTGCTCCTTAAATTCCTCTTCCTTATCAACATTTTCTCATTCATTCGCTTACATAACCAATGACCAATTCCATCATTTTTCATAGCTATGAAGAGCATCCGATCATCCATGTACCGATTTTTGATTGAATTTGTTATTCGATGGCTGTTGGAATGATGGAAAATAATTCTGACAGAAACTATGAATGCATGATTAAAGCATGTAGACCATGAAAAATTGAAGAAAATAAAATGTTTAAAGGGAGAGGAAGTTGTGGTCTTTATGATTGTATTTCGGTATTTTTACTGGATTTCTGATTTGACTTCTTTTCTATCTGAGTTTATTGATGGAAATGTCACTTAATTGGATCTCCAGATCGCCTTCTTTCTTGCTGGCTGTAGTTTATGCAATGGTACAAACTCGTATTTTAGTCCTAGCAGTGACATTCTTGGTGGTATTTATCTTCTAAGATATATGTGATGTCGGAGCAGAATTTGGGCAAACAAGTCATATATATTTGCCAATGCAAGAGTTAAGCCTCTATGGTGCTAGTGGTTAAACAACAGGCTGAAATATCTATAACTCTCTTTTGTGAGGGTATTGGTTCGATTCCCACCAAAGATCGAATTCTCAATCATTATAGACGTGTGGTCGATATGACAAGGAACCCACAATGCTCATGACATTACAGTAAACAAATCTAGCTATAATTTCTCGTCTGCTGCTCTTTATTGATGTCCTTTTCCTTGGTTTAGTTTCAATCTGCTGTAAGATTCCATAAAAATTCTTAAACAAACCTTGAGTTCTTTAAAATAAAATTTCTAAATTTAAATTCCCCTTCCAGGAATAAAATCAATTCTTATCAATACTTAATAAAATTTAAATTCCAATACCTGCTTTAAAAATTAATGGAAAATTCTCCGTAAATTTACATACCAAAAAAAATCTAAATGAAAAATACGCACCATCATTCAATTCACTCATACCTTCTCTCAAGTTACCCACCCCTGAGGAAATTCGATTTGAATATTTTTTTTACTGCGGAATCTTTTATGGTACATCCATTTTCCATTCTCCCTTTTGCGACCTCCATTCTTCTCTAAGGGCAAATAATGAACTATTATTGAGCATAAAAATACAAATTGCTTCTGACATCAATGAGAGTTGGATAATATTTTATGAAAAAAGAATTGGAGATATTGATTTGACTTTTGTTCTTAAAAAAAACTTTTCAAATTGAAACTGCAGAAGACAATTTGAAATTAATTTTAAATTTGAATCCTGAAAAAATTCTTTTGCAATAAAAATCCATCAAAAAAAATATTTGTGCAATCTGAACCAGAATGAGCTTTTTAAAAGCTATGAGATCGAGTACAAGCATTAAACCCCACGCGAACGTGGTTAAAATAACATTTTTAACTATACGCAATTTTCGTATGCAAAATCTGATATGTTGTTTTTAGTAGAAATGTTATTTTTCAATCACATCATAATCATTATTATTATTATTGCTATTTTTGTTTGTTAGGCTAAAGCACATCACAAAGGAAAATAAATAGAATCTGTTGCCTCAAGTATTTAATTTGGATTTTATTGATTTAATTTTATCGATCAATTTCAATGTGAGATTGTTTCATAAAATTTGTTTGAAGCTTTGTTGAAACTTTTTTGAAATTGAGGATTTTTGTGTGTGTGAAGTTCAATATTTTAATGAGAATTAAGGAAGCAGTTTGAATTTTGTGAGAGACATTTAAATCGGTAGAGTCACCAGAAAGTCATCAGATTCAGTGATATTGACACTTTTATTCATTTTTAAAAAGATATTCAATTGCATTCAATTGGAGGTCATTTATAAATGATTTTTGTAACTTTTGTCGTTTATTTGGAAGCAAGTCGAGACGGTTTTAAGCTCTTCGACAAAAACTGCAAATTTATGACTTTGAGATCATGTTTATAGGAACGAGATATGATGCTTAGATATGTTGAATGATATGCAACGTACTAAGTGAAAGACTCTTGAGCAACATAGAATTATATTTGCCTTTATTTGCACTTAAAGTCAGATTTTCGTAGCTCTTATTTTTTGGAAGGGTTTATTCCAAATTAGGGACCATCTGGATCACAACTTACGATACCATTTACTGAAGCAAAGCCATTCTTTCAAAGCTCCTAACATTATTCGAACAAACCTTCTGAATTCCTTAATTTTCAATAAAATAATACTTAACCTAATAAAAACTCCACAGCCATCATAAATGAAGCATCCCAAAAATCTATTATCCAAAGCAATTACGACCAGTAAAGCAAAAATTTAAATTAGATTCAATTCTCCATGTACTGACTTATTCATCAAATAGAAATTCTTGTGGAAGAATTTTTGGAACTTCCAATTTAGGTCAAAAAGTAAGCAAGGATGAGGTATATTTATTGAATGAAATGTCTATCAAGATAAATTGTATAAATGATATTTTCTCATACCGGAACTTTATGTGGGCAATGAAAAAATTTCATATATAAATTTTTTTGTCTTGAACTTCTGCAACTAAAATTAAATTAAATTCAATTTGTTTGACTTGAATCTTAAACAAAAATTCCATCATGACCTAAAAATTTGCATTCTCTGATGCTGTAGTTTATACATTCCATCTTTATAGAATAGCCAAGTCGGCTACATCATGTAGGATGTAAAATGTAATATGAATTTTCTCGAATAATCAAGAATTCAAATGTATTCTCGTGACTTTTAAACCTCCCGACAATGTTAAATTGTTTGTTGAATAAAATAAATCAGATTTTAATAGCATTAATGCTGCACTTCAATCCCAATATTAATAAACCAGAAGAAAACAACTAATGGATGTCTACAGCATAACAAACAATCTCTAGAATATTGCATAGATATGTGACCACAAAAGTGTTTGGGTTTTAATATTACCACAGTCCGCCTGTACTGCAGTAATATTATGATTTCAAAATATGCAGCCACAGAAGATTACTCGATGCACTAAATTTTATAATAAATATGGTAAATGCTTGTGAAAATTTAATTAAATACTTTCTGACTCTATAAATTCAATGGCCCTGTCTCTATCATGTTGACTGATTATTCCTTATCTTATATGACTCACATTTTAAATGAAAATAGGGTTGAATGTTCATTAGAATTGATAAACATTCCAAAAATATCAAATTTTCACTCTCTCATGTGCCATGGCTATCTACATTTGCTACAATGATGTTCAGCTTTTAATTTTTAATGTTTTAATTTGCATAAGAATATTTTTCTTTTTTTGTTGGATGCTAAAATGATTGCAGAGGTTCCATTTCAAGCAATATGCATGAATTTAATATTTTTTCTTCTCACTTCCTCCTGCAAAGGAGTGAAGAAGCACAAGCAAAAAAGAACTCATTTTTTTATGTTTCGTCTGCTCCAAATATCTTCTTCCTGTCAAGTCATTTTAAACATGCATACAAATGTGCTTGTAGCCATGTCGACATACCTTCCTAACATCCCATTGTATCTATTTTAAAAATTTGTTTATAAATTGCAATGCAGGAGATTTAATTAAGTGTTCTGAAATTAGTCCGCAGCAAAAAGCTCTTTTAAGCATCATAAGAGAGACAGAGCCAGAGATAAAAAGTAGAATGAGGAACGTAGAAAAAGTTTCTCCTCAACGGAAATATTGCCAAACTACCGTAAATTAATTCATAACAACACCATTTTTAGTTTTTGAACAAACTTTTACGCTTGCTCACCCTTTTCTGTGCTTATTTGTAGGACAATAGCTGTTTATCTTGTCATTTTGGCTAGTTTTGTGTGCTGCTGTTGAAGATTTTCTTTTTTTTGGAATTGAATGTTGTGGAAATTGTTTTTGATTATTTTTGAAAAAGTTGGAAAAGAAAAAGTTTTTGGCAAAATGATTTTATAGCTGTGAAATTTAATAATTTATGGGATGAGAAACTTAAAATTTTTGGGGGGCTTTGAGGAGGTTATTTATTTCTTGCTAAAAAATGCTATTTTTCTACGTCGCTACACTCTCGTGTGACTTATGTTTTGTACTTAAGAGAAGACTAGGAAGATTCAAACGGACCTGGTTCTCTCTTTCTCAATCATATTAATATTAGTAAAACTGTGAAAAATGAAAAAAATCTTGAAAGTTTCTCTTATGATCTTAAGTTTTCTCTTCTATGCATAGTCAGAGCTGTGGCTAAAAGGGGGATGTAGTGTTGCACTTTTTATATTGACAAAAAAAATATAATTAAGGTTTGGGGTTTGCCTCTAAATTCTTCTCCTTGGCGTCATCCTTAAGTCTATGTATGATTATAATATTCTTGCCCGACATCAATGCTTAAGTATGCAAGAAAAAACATCAAATTATGTTTTAAAATTTCCCCATTCCCGTTAAAAACTAGGAAGTATGATACTATCTCCGCGCTTGATTACTAAACAATAATATTGTCTATAAAACTTCATAATTGATCAAATCCTCATTTGTGCTCATTGCCAGCAAACTCCAATAAATCCATACAATTACATTCACACAAAACCTATTCATAACTCAATTTATACGAATGTAAAGCATTTGATTCCCTTACTTCTACAAGCTCAACAACCGCAAAAACTTAAATGCACTGCTATCACGCTTCCACAACATATCTGGTATTTATTTTTTTCATAGAACAACTTCCCCATATCTGAATGGAACGTATAATGTATTACAAACTAAAAAAACGTAAACTAATTAACCGAAACTCTTTCTCTTATTAAATGTATTGTACGATACTTAATTAGAGAAGCCTGAACATATCTATGCTTCTATTTTTTATGTCATAAATACTCATATATGCTCGACTACGTAAATTAATTACAGTTCGCGTTAATTAATTTTTAATATGATTTATGTATTCATTTAACAAACTTTTACATTATATATGCTCAAGTGCCTACACTGTAGATCTAATTTAGACTAATTACTGCAATAGTTTTTTTCTTTCTTTTCCTAACCTTAATTTGCAAGCTCTTTTTTTAATGATTTTTTTCGTATTGAGGCAACAAAGCCACCGAAGAGAGTAAATAAATTACTACAAAAGACCTTTTCCTCAATTCTATAGTCAAGTTCTCAACAAATAATCCTCTGTCAATGTTTATCGATTCCTTTATGGTACATTGAACTCTTTCGCTTCCATAGTTTACACAACCACATTTTATTCTTTTTCTAGCAAACATAATAATACATAAATATCAGAAAATTTTTGTGAGACTGCGACTTAATGTATCCGAAACAGACCAGAAATCAATAAATATACATATCTATAAATTTTATTTATTTATATTTTTTTTTGGTGTGCTGTGTACATCGTATGCCTCCCATCTACATTTTGTAAATTAAAATTCATCGAAACAGAAAATTTGTTTGGAACTCGAGCAGCTCACGCGGCGTCCAATTTATATTGGAAATGCCTCTGAATATATAACTGAATTTGTTAATTCATTGAAAATTAATTTAAATTAAATTTTTATAATACAATTTTATCGTCGTATGGCTTTTTCATTTTACTGCTGTTAAAAATTTCATTTGCTTGTGGGATAAATTTTCATGTGTTTCATGTTTATTAATTAAAGTCGCGTTAATATCATCAGAAATAATGCTTCTCGTGCTCATGCTTAAACCAGAAATCAATCAATTTGATCAATCTATATCACAAACGATTATTTTAATTGCAATTTTGCAGAATTTTCTATAATAAAAGTTTTTAACGAGGTAATTTCATGTAATTCAGTAACATACTCGTTATAATTGGTTACAAAATGATTATCCCAGGAATATTAGAACTTAATTAGTATAAAATAGCATATCAAAAATTGAAAATTATTTATTCTCAGAATTTTAAATGCTGATTGTCTAAATTTGGGTTAGAAATCATTTAATTCATTCATTCAATGTTGCGTTGATGAATGCAATTCGTTCAATTGCAATAATTTTATACAAATAAATAGAATCATTTAATAAATGTCTGATCTTCTTACTTAGTAATTATTGGAAATGTGTTCTTTGATTCTATGAATTTTCTGAATAGTGAACGAGCTCTAAACAATTTCATAATTATTTACTAATTTGATTCAGAAGTTCAACATGAAATCTTTAACGAGTGGGTTGCATTGACAAAGGTAGAGAGAGACATAAGGCTACTAAGGGCATCCTACTTAAGAATAAAATAATTTGGCATACTCAGAATATAAATTGTGACTAGAAAAAGGTTACCCAGATAGCCACAATAATGGTTTTTAGGAATGGGTAAAGATAGTCCAGTCCTGCTCTTCTTAAAGCTCTACTTTGAAGCCAATCCGAATACCACAAGCTGGATAGTCGAACAAAAAATCCAGCACCAAGCTAGAGTAGCTTTAGCATGATACTAGATTCGATTTGAGTCCATAAAAATGCCAGAGTCACTCCAGCTTTATGCCAGATTTCTATTAGATTGCCCAACTTGTGCGATTCGGGCTTAATCATCTAGTAATTGAAAGGATTCCTCAAACAATTTTATTGCACACTATTATAATGCTACAGACAAGAAGGTTTAAAATACAAATTATCCATAAACTGATTGGAACTAAAGATTAATTATTGAGTAAACAATGTTAACAATTTTTAAGACTTAAACTCACTTTTTTCACTAATTTGTTTGTTCATGAAAGCTTGGCATCGAATAAAAACAAATGCTTCCACAGTTGAGATTAAATCCAATAAAATAACAACAAACTTAAAAACAATAACTTATCAAAAATTGAGATTCGGATTTATCTTGATGGAAGTTGCTATAATAACATACAAGTGGGTTCAAACAATAAGGATTAAGAGAATTGAGAATATTTTTATGTTGAGCTTTTTTACTCGATTCGACCTGATTGGATTAAGAATTCTGAGTAATCATTAAGACCGTGAAGTATTTCCAATTATATTTAATTAATAAATATCACATTTTTCAGCGTATTTTCTGAAAACTTAATTAAAATTTATTATTACTGCCAAAAAAACTAATTTAAGCATTTTAATTTCTTACAGGTGCTATATTCGAGCAAGGAACAGATGAAGTGCAATCAGCATTTAAATTTGCCATGTTAAACCACAATCTAAATGTTACTGGAAGACGCTTCGAGCTCCAGGCGTATGTTGATCTTATAAGCACAGCTGACGCTTTTAAACTATCAAGACTAAGTGAGTATTATTATTTTTAAGCACATCTACTTTTCAATTTGTATTTCTTTCCATGAAATTTAATATCACAAATTGCTCAACGCACATTGAATTGAAATTTATTTTTGGGTTGGCAAAGTAATACGAATTTTAATTTTGAATGAATTTTACAATTTTACTTTCTCGTCAATAGAAATTGGATGACTGCCTGTAGCTCATAAAATTCCATAAATTCTATTTTTCATTTAGATGTTTCAATTGTCAAAACCTTTTTATACTTCCAATATTGTGTGTACTTACAGCATTGTCTGTTGAGTATTATAACCTTCACTTTATTTCCACGTGCATACCCTCCGAAAATATTCAGGTCTAGTACAAAAATTTAATATTCTAGAAAAAAAAACATCGTTTGAAACGAAAAAAAAAATTTAAGCACGAAAAAATATTTCGAAATGTTAAAGTTTTCTTTTTAAATTGTTTGAATAAGCCGGAAATGTTTTGGGGATACAGAGCGCATATTTAATGTTTCTCAGACAAATATTGTATTTTTTCGAATCATTTAAAATTACGAGTTCTTTGTAAAATGCAGTCATGTGAAAGGTCTAGTAAAACCTAATAAGATTAAATCTGTATTGCAAACAAATGCTCAAGCTTTGCTGAAAACTAGAAACTTTCTTTATAAAGACAGCAGAGACTGTTTCTGTGGTTCCTCGGTGTACTCTAGGGTAAAAATAAAATTCGATGTATTACATCAAGGGGTTTGAATGAAATTGATTTGAGACTAAAGAAGGATACACATAGAAACCTGAACCGATCACTTTCTTGAAAAGTTTCTTGATATGCCCCAAAAGGATGGATCTTGCCTATTCCAATTGTAACACTTCTAGACTCATTTTAAGTTCCTTGGTCCCAGATCATCTTTCTCGAATGACACAAAAGCGAATAATTCAATAATTGAAGTCAGGAAGATACCAGCTAGGATCCGGATTCAAGTTAAAATCCAAGCTGGTACCAAGCCAACCTTATCCATGATCAATCGCCATAAAGAAATTCAGGTTTAATTTTACTGCAGGTTTTATTATGACAAGATGTGCTTAAAAATCTTAAAATATCAATGAATAATTATTGACCTAGGATGGACCTTAAAACAAGATCTATATAAGAACATATCTCTGAGTCAAAAGAATTATAGATTAAAAGATTTACAAACTTTTGAGCTGACTCAACAAAGTCGCGTGAATAAGCAGACCAACTAATAGAATAAGATCATTAAGGACAAATCTTGGATAAATCTCCTTAAATACTGCCTCTATTTATTTTGCTTTAAAATCCTCAGGAATTAAAAAACATCCTTCAATATCCTTTTGAATATCTCTCCTACTGCTCTGTGATAAACATCATAAGACGGTGCTTTAAAGCTTTACAAACAAAATGTTTTAAAAAAATTATTTTTGGGTCTGTTCAGCTTATTCAGTTGTGTTATATCACGACTCACTCGCAAATGCACTATGTACAGGAAAATTGAAAAAAAAAAAGTATTTTGTGGCGAGGCGAAAAAACAGTTTTTTCCTGTGAAATATACATACATACCGGAAAAAACATCATGACACAGTGAAAATGTATTCCATTGCATTTTTTAAATTATTATTTTTTCTCCAAGGGGTAGGAATTTGATGGAGAAAAGGGAGCAAAAAAGGTTTTCAACCTTTTATGATTTTTTGTTATTTTAGTGAAAAACGTGCAAAAAAGTTTGTAAGCCTGAAGCAAAATTTCCTTGTTATGAAATTTCAAATATTCAAGGGGTAAGAATTTTAAAATAGACAATTTTAAGGAAATGTTTTTGTTTGAAAGGTTCGTCTTAGTAAGAAAATAAATAGCTGAAATAAGGAATTTTGTGAATATAAAAGGGTTCATCAAGAAAATATTTCCGGGATCGTGGACAAGAATTTGAGGATATTAAGGATATTGAAGATACAAAAGAGGAATGTTTTAGGGCTCAGAATTTAAAAGCAGTTTGAGGAACGCCACCAAGCCACTCCAGTTCAAATATTAAATTTGTTCTGTGTCATAACAGTTCAAATCCTAAACATTCATTTATCAAAATCACAAACCATTAAATCTGCTCAAAAAACCCACAGACACAATTTAAAAAAAAAAACAAAAATTCCCACAGCTAGCAAATTTTCACCCCGCAACCTCAATATCATATCGAGCAAACGACGGTGTGTTGGGTTTTAATTCCTCGTTCTCGCTCACTCATATTTTCTTCCCTAATTAATTTCCGGTTTTATTGTGATACTCATTTTTTTTACATAACGACAAAAGCATTTTCATATAGCATTTATTGACATATGGATGGTATGAATGCATTGTGTGCGGTTATGATCATTTAAATAAACAGTATTCTTGTGTATTCATACATACGCGTTACCGTAGCATTGGCTTCACTCAACCCGGTCTTATTTTCATTTAGATTTAACATATGAATGATGAATATTTGCTCATTCATACGTAATATGTGTTAATTACAATTTCATGGAAAGGAAACTTTATGGACGTATTTTAATTATATGTACAGAATGATGCAAAAAATATGAAATAATTTTTTTTATCATAAATTGAGAACGACAGTCCATAAAATGTAATTAATTGTGCGAGTCATCATCCACACCCGCCATAATTTCTTTCGCATCGTTGATAACCGAATGACAAGTGAGAATTGCGAAATTAACTTTGCGGTAGACCATCATCGGTAATTAATAATAATTTCTCACTCAATTTGTGTCATACTTTTTATCAAACGATGCATGTCCAATTTATGTCATCATTTCTAATTATCATGTTTAACACATTTATTTACAGTATGTAATCAATTTTCCCGCGGCGTATTCGCAATGATGGGTGCAGTCTCCCCAGACTCTTTTGATACACTCCATTCCTATAGTAATACATTTCAAATGCCATTCGTAACGCCATGGTTTCCAGAGAAGGTGAGTTTACTGACGTCGAGGGGACAACAATATGATGGGGAAAAATTTGCTCATCATGTCGTTCTCCCCTTGGTTTCCATCCCTCATTCCGCTCATTGTCAATCATAAATTCGTGATTGTCATTCGGTGTTGTAATGAGACATTCTTGTCATCTCTACACTCAGACTAAATTTGATCACATAAAAATTTATTGATGCTGACTCAATTTTTGCAGGTTCTGACGCCATCGTCCGGTTTTCTTGATTTCGCAATATCAATGCGGCCCCAATATCATCAAGCAATTATTGATACAATACGTTGGTATGGATGGGATAAAATCATTTATTTGTATGATTCACATGATGGTGAGTAAATTTATGACATAATTCCACTTATTTCTTTCCTTTTCATAGCATAGTTTTATGGTATTTTTGGGATGTGGTAATGTGTTCACTTTGACAGGATGCGGATATCAATTGAGATGTTAATGTAGATGTGGTACGTGAGAGGATTTTCTTCTTGATTAGGAGATAAGGGTGCGTTGATTTAGAAGGTTGGATTTTTTTTACACAAAAGTTATTGTAAACTGACAGTTTTGGAACATCAGGGAACATAAGGTTTGAACTTATCGGTTTGGTTTTCTGCATCGTCTACCATTGCGTCAGATATTCAATTCAAAAGCAGAAACCTTGCCCACGAAGCTTCGTAACTTTTTTCATGAAATTGAATCCAAAAAAGAGCGTACCATTCCTCAAAATTCATTAATAAGTCAGCTTACTGACTATTTCGTTTTATTTTATTTTTCTATCCTCATAATACAAATGCTACTCTTATTTTTAATACAACTAGATACTACTCAATTTCATCTAAAGCTTTCGCACAAAATATATTATAACAAAATGGTCAAGGGATAAAAAATTGATATACGATGTTGTGTAGGATGCTGGATGTTGTTACTTGAATGTTTGTGAATCAATAAAAAATCGATGTCGATAAATTAAGGTCCAAAAAAAAGGAGAGAAGTTGGATCAAGAAAGAATTGATAATGCGAATTAATTTTCCTTCATTATTTCGGCACATTAATTTATTATTTTTGTGAATATGAAAAGCAATTCATAAATAATTAACTTATACAAGTGCTGTGCTTCCATTTCGATGAATAGTATTTATGGCTTATTGTTTGATTAATCCACATCACATTACATTCTTACGTGCTGTTTACTTGTTTTTCATTCTGTTTCTCTCATTTCGTTCACGTAAAACCACACAACTCGTGCATGTGAAGGAAATGGGATTGTAGCAGGAATGGCAGCATATTATTATTATTGTTATTATTGTAAACAGAGTTGACATTATTGAAATGCGGGAATACGTAGATTTTGAATGAATTTTATGGCTGTTTACTGAATATTTATACTAATCATGGATGATGGCAAGGAATGTAAAGCAATTTGACGAAAATTGATGAGGAAACTCAAATTGAAGCCAAAATTTCTGCTATGCGATGCTTATATTATGAAATATTTGTGTTTGGGGGTTTGAAAATTTTTATGAGGAAATGAAAATCAGCGTGTGATTTTTTGAGAGTTTTGAAAATTGAGCATTGATGTAAGTAGCGGGTGGGGTCTCAAGCTGTAGCATGGTACTGTAGGTTATCTTCATTTTTCTTGTCTTTTTCTTTTCGTTACTAGTCGACTAGCCACTACCTTTCCCTCACCTCAAAGCTACTTCTAGGCTATTTCAAGGGCCTAAGGCGTTCAATGATATCCAAGGCGTGGGAACTATGAAAATATCTGGGATAACCGGGGATAATATGGGATGTTATTAATATTTTCATAGTTTCCACGACTTGATGATATCCAAAATCCATTCCAATGAATAAAAAACTTTAAGACTTAATATCAAGATTACGGATAATCTGAAACCATAACGCTCTTCAGCAACGATCCAACAAACATCAAAAATAAATTTTTCACACTTCATGACATTAGTCGTCATGCTGTTTATTGTTTTTCTCAAATTCCCACAAACTGTTGCTCAATTTTTGTCAATATCCATAGCATTCCATCACAAATTAAGACCATCAATTGATATTAAAGTCCCAACAGTCGCTTAAAAGATCTTTCAATTCCAAAACATCTACCTTCATATGTCGATACCTTCATCATGTATTAAATAAATATCATTAACATCCATCTCTGGATGTATGAACACCAAGATAGGATATATACTCAATAATATTGAAAATTAATGAGAATGAAAACATTTGCTGATACAGAAAATTATATTTAATGTGATATATGACGCAATTTTGAAATTGTTCATACGTACACCTTAAATATGCTGAAAGCGAATATGAGGGTTGGGATAAAAAAATTGAAAAAGGATATCATGTCATACTTTTTCACGAGCAATAACGAAAAATGAAACATGACAGTGTGGCATGATACTTTCACGCAATTATAAAAATTGCTTTTTTCCTTATTTTGCTACAATTTTTCTTTCCTCATTCTCTTACTAAATCTAAAAGCATCACCATCAATATGACGCAAATACATTTATCATATAGAAAAGAGAAGAAGAAAAAATATTTTAAAAGAAAAGAAGTAAAATTTTTCCCTTCCTTAAGTAACAGAACAGAAGAGAGGAGGAAAAAAAAATTAAAAAGAAAAGCTAAATAAAGATTTATGGGAATTTAAGTGTGAAAGAGAGAAAATTTTTCCTTATTTTTCTTCTTATAAACTAGTTTGATTCCCCGTCAAGCATGATAGTGTGAATTTTAAACTTATTGCGGACCGATGTCCATTGACACACTGTTACATACTCTAACTGTATCTGAAAGACTCAAATCAACTATAATAGTTTATGATCGACCCTGATTGACTCTTACCAACTCTTCCTGGCTCAAAACTACTCTGACTAATGATTGACAGACTGAACGACAGACCCGAATAAGACAAGTCAGTTAGGAGTCGTTCACTTATGACGTCCGAAATTAACGGTCATATTTCAAAAAAGAACAACAGATTCTACTGTTCTTTTATAGTTGACCACTCCCCCACCCCTTTGACGTCATAAGTGAACGGACCCATAATTCGAATAGAAATCCCACACCGAGCCAGTGTGATTCTAAAATGGTGCTGGATTCAATTTAAATCCATGCTGGGTTTGTGCCGATTCTTTTTCGACCAATTGACTTGAGCTTTTCGGGAAACAGACTTATGACGATTATTATATTACTAAAATGTGTGTGCAACTAAAGAAGAGAGCAGAAAAAAACTTGTTTGTGGGAAATTTAATTTCAAACATCAAGGTTTGCTTCAAGTCCTCCTCAACATGTACACAGTTGGATAAGCAAGCATAATAGCTTCGATGAAAAGAAAATAACAAGTTTGGGAAACTGTTATTGAATAGAAATTGGAAGTTCTGACGCTTTTTTTTCCATGGGAAATCAATTAGAATGATCTGGAGATTAATATTTAAGCTCATAGGTGATTAAGAAATATTCTTTTAGGTATTAAATTGCGTCCTTTAAACTTCAAACACTATCATACTGATAGAATTCTATTATGTATAAAGTTTCAATGAGGATTAAAACAGAATCAACCCTTCTCACACCATTCATTCGGGTTGAGTTTCTCAAATTAAGTTTACTTTTGTAAAATCTTGAAAATTAATCATGAAACACGAGTGGTTTCTCATGATGTCAGTGGCAAGGTCGGAAATTAAGAAGCTCTTAAAATTGAGACATGATGCTAAGTTCAAGAAGAATTTTTGATCATATTGCTTCCGTTTTTTTAAGTAAAAATTGAAATAAAATTTTGAAATTCATGATTTTGTACATTTTGGCAGTCTGAACCACTCTGGATCCATAATTCAGCTTTACTTCCGCTTAACAATTTATTAAAACTATTGCTTAAACATCCGAAATTTCGACCAATGTGATTAGTTTATTTGCACCTTAATTGACAGCCGAAAATGAAACTTCATTTTATAAAAACCTTCCATTATTCATCCTCAAAATACTCGCTTAAATAAACAAAAGAAGGATAAACTATTATCAAGACTAAAATGAATTAAATGAATGAGCAAAGAAAAGAAAATGAAGAATAAACGGAAACACTTTTTATACTTTTTATTTTTGTTAAAAAGCTGTGGATTTGCTGATACAAAAAGTTACAGTAATATAATCATTCAATAGTGGTGGTAGGAAGAATGCCAAAAGCGATAACTTTTTACTGAATCATGAGAGTAATTTGTGATGAAAAAAAAGGGTTAGTTTTAGGATGTTTGATCAGTGTGATGATTAAAGTTTTTTCTTTATTTTTAAATTCTTTGTTCCTTTTCAAGCCACAGAAATTTTTCAATTTTATTTTATAGCTTAAGAATAGTTGATTGTGCTTGTTCAACTTTATTGTAAATTTACTTGGAGAAGTTGCATGAATATAGCTAGCTATTTAAACTTTCTTGTACGGAAATATTCATTTTGCGGAAAAGTTAAATTTTCTCCAAAGTCCTTAAAACCCCCAACGTTGACCCAGGATCGTCTTCTCTCCCAGCTGTATCCAAACAACATAATACAGCCAACTTAAAACAGCAAAAAACTCCGACCTTTTTAAAAAAATCTCTAAATTTAATACCTTTAAAAAAATCTACGATACAACGCCTATGCCACTGACACTTGTCCAATAAAATAAATTGAAGATACCGCATCGAACATGCTAACAATTCAAGCAATTACGAATTCGATTGCTGAGTTGCTATTCAAAATTCAATTTGTCATCGTGATAGACATTCCATAGAAAACAGATGACCTGCAATATCAAAATATGTTAACGTAGTCAGTAATTGGACTGATGGTCATAAATCTAAATGTTGATTCGGTGAAGTATGGCTTATTTTTGCTGGTGGGAGGAAAAAAATAAAAATTCAGTTGATTTTGAATTTGGAGGCTTACAGCTTTGATTTAAAGGTTACACGATTTTTAAATTGGAGGCTTAGGATTAAGGGTTTGGGTCTTGTAGACCTTCACTCGTTAATCGACCACTAGATTCTTATTTTATGTGATTCACAGCCTTTCATATGAAAGCATCAAACCTGTGGACTCCTAGACAAGTTGTCATCTTTTTTAAACGTCCTTCAAGAATTGTCTAATACCAACTTTACCCTTATTCACAGTCCATAGACAAAACTTCAGAAGCAACTATCAAATTCACATATTTGAATGAATCTTTGCATACCCAAATGAAAAAAATTAAGCTTCCCAAAAATTTCTCACTCTTCTACTTTTCTCAACGCCTACGAAACTTCATGAATCATCAAAATATATCTATGAACTGTAAAATTACACAAGAACATTAAAGGAATTGTGCT